TATGGCTTAGTGAAGGTAGGAATTGGTGAGCAATTGTACTACGGTGTGCATGTCTTATGTGATGAGTGTGAACTCGATTTTTCGTGGCAGTGCGTTACGTGTCTCACAGATGGGGGTGCCAGAGAGATTCTGGGTTGGGGAAATTTACAAGATTTAATAACAAAGGAAATTATTTCCATTATTAGTTCATCAGAAGCAGCAATGGATGTAGTACTTTCGATGAGCAAAAGACCTAGAAGCATAAAATTACTCTGAATAGTAGATTTTTTCCTTTTGCATCTAATGATTGACGATCTATTAGAATGAATTTGCTGTCTAATAATGTAATAATATTCATTAATCAGTAATTAATAATGGATTATTAATCATTCACTACTAGTACAAAACAAACATTTCAAGTGCACAACTGTGGACAATCAAAATATTACACATTTATATTCGATGTCGATGACTTCCGTAATTGTATTGTTTAAAGGTTAAGAATTGCTTATACATACGTATGACGACCGAACGTTGAGAAGCACAAACAGGATTGCTGCGTTATCCTTCGATTCAAAATTGTTTTCAAATGACGATAGATTTTATAAGAATTGATTATTCCCAGTGTAGAAAAGGAATGTATGTTGAGTAGGCTATAATCAATAGCGTATTACGCAAATTTTGTGTTTAGTGTGAAATTGAGAGATAGGTCAACGAAGGGGATAGATACAAACAACTTCGCACCATCCTGGCTTGGTAAGCCCAAGCAGAGCATGAATAAATGAATAACACTTTCTCGAATTATAAGCTACTGTGTGAGATGATCAATGAGCTCATTGTAAAGATGAATTGTTATAAAGACCCGCTATTGTTCAGGTCCAGTTTTTTCTTCCTGTTGCTTTTGCTGCAAATAAATATAATCTAACGGAGGCTCAGACGTCATCTGATGGCCGGGTCGTCGCGGCTTGGCTGATGGTTCTCGAGAAAGATTGTTGCTGTAATGGAGAGCTTCCCTCGAATTTCATTTTATTCTTATTCTATTCCATATCACGGACTGTTGATTATCTGGGTAGCAATGGCTGATTAATTTTTTTTACTTTATACGATGATGTCTGTCTTATGTTTTACGAAAATAACGACTATTAGGGCAACATGAGGCAGCGCGTCCCCCCCCCCTTTTTTAAACTAAATTTTTGATGAAGTTCTAATTGATACGAGGTGGTTCTTTGTTTTGTTTAAAGTTACAACTAATGAGGAATGTATGATGTGAATTAGACGCCTATATGTTTATTCAATTTTTAATGAAACACTTTTTTGTAAAAAGTGTCAAAATGGGCCCATTGCCCCACCCCTGGGGCAATGGGCCCATGGGCTTGGGGCAAGGCGTCCACCCTTGGTCCCTTTGCCACAATTGCATATTTTTCGTTTAAAATAGAAAAAACAACACTTTACAGTTAAAAATAAGAAAATTTAATAAAAAATATGACATTCACTCATTTATTAACAACTCAAAAAATCATATACTTATCTTGAAAAAATATACTCTTGGCTTAAAAAATCTATCACTGACGTGAAGAAAAATATTTCATTGACATGCAGAGAATTCGTACCTAATCGTGATTTCAGCCAACACCATAAAAACTCATCAACTTTTGGCTCATTGGTGTTGGCTGAAATCAACTTTTGGCAAGGCAAGTGTCAATAACTCGATAAGGGGTCATAAATACGCATATTTAGAAACTAATCCAGCTGCCTTGAGGCGGCAAATCAAAAAATCATGCAATATGAAGTGTAATTTGTAATTCAAAAAGCTAGTCATAGTTTTGAAAAGGTCATTGAGACAAATCTAATGATGTATAACACAAAACTTCACCATGGGAGCTTTGCCCCGTGACACGCGTGGGCCCGTTGCCCCACTAAGTATCATTTCAATTTATATCATGTCAACATTTTATTTTAAAAGCTAATAGTCTAAACTTGATCTCAAAATTATCCCTATAAATATTACTTTGGAAATATAATTCACAGTAATTTCAAAAGCTTCATCTACAGTAATGGAAAAAAATGTATTTAGCAGCAAAAAAAACTTTATCTGGACTAAAACAGTTATTCACAAATAACTTAATAACGCAAACACTTAGCAAAACGTAAATCCGTACACTTCATCCCAGTGAAACTGTCGACCGGCGGTAGAGAACACGGATCAATATCTGCCATACTTAGCGAGAAACCCGCTATGGGCCCATGACCTGCAGTGGGCTCGCTGCCCCATGTTACCCTATCTATTCGACCATGTCGCTATAGAATAACATTTAGTATTGCCAAATTCCCCATTGGGAATTATAATGGACCTGTGTTGGATATAAAAATGTTCTTGGTAATTAGTGTTTGTTATTTTCGTAGTGCTAAGAATAATAAACTGTATTTTTAATGTTACTCATTATCAGCAACGGTACAAACTGTCGGATGACCTTATAATAATTAAGATGAGTGGCACTACCATTGACGTGGCCATTACGACTGAAATAAAGTTTGTGAAGCAGCGTGTTATTATTTCCGTATTACCCACTTGAGCTTAAATTATTCCTCATAATCCAGATGAGATCCATGATTAAATCAAAGTAAGTTTTTAGGCCATTGATATTGCTGTTGAAGTAGTTAAGTATTATTATCAAAATCTGACTGTTTGATTACTAAAATGGATTCAAGTATTAGTACGGTAGTTTTTTCTCTTTTTATTTCATAAACCAATAACATTTTATATTTTATGAATTTTTCCCCCTTTCAATATTACATAAAGTTGGATTAATTAATTTTGTGTTACTGTAATCTAAGTTAAATTATATGTAATAGCTCTCCCCTAATAACAACTTGAGTTGTAAAAATATTTTTTCATTTTTCAAGCAGGTTCCTTCAATAGGTGTTACCAGCCTACCTAGTTCGGTTATAAGTTCGCTAAACAGGTCATCATGCCTTAACATAGGCCAAATAAAGGTGAGATTTGCTAAGATGAGCTAGATATTGTTTACAAAATAACTAAGGAGGAAAATTAAACATGCCGGTTATGAATAAAATTAGCAAGAGAATGGATGAGCACTCCCAAGATTATTGTTGTGCCTTAGTACACATATTAGTTATAACAATCGCCGACCGACTGGTACCATCAAACCTGTTAACCTTATTTCGGTGTTGTATCCAGATGTGCTCGGTATTGAACGGTGAGGCACTTGCACGGGCGGAACTTGATACATTTGAAATCAAACAATATTTTAGGTCATATGAAGCATCAGAGATCAATCAATGGTTTATTTTGAAATTTAATATCTGTAAAGAAAAATTGAGCACAGAAAATGTCGAAGAAAAAATTAATTGGGCTCATGTTATAACGGAAGAACGTAAATGAAGGAATACGACATCATCGAAGATTGAATTATTCAATTACTAAAATACACTATTTTATCCGTGCCAACAAGACTGTCACATGAAACGAGCGACTAAGTTTTAAGAATTCCAGACCCATCGTTCCCTGGAAACTATTTCACTCGACGGAAATCTAGATCGCAGAAATCTCTCACTCAACCAAGGAAATCTCGTTCGTGGAAATCTGCTATACAACAAAGGGAATCTCTTCTGAATATCTCTCACTCAACGAAGAAAATCTCGATGTTGGAAATCTTTCAATCGATGAGGGAAATCTCACGCTTGAAAATCTCTCCTTTGAAAATCCCTCCCTGATCGACGAGTATCTCACTATTGATCGCTCCAAATCGCCAACTCACTGTTGGATATCTCGCTCTTAGAAATCGATCACTCGCCGTCTGATATCTCATCCATGAAAATCTTTCACTCACCTCCGAAAATCTCACTTTGGGAAATCTCTCACTCACCGTCGGATAACTCACTTTTGGGAATCGCTCAAACACCGTCGGATATCGCACTCTCGGAAATCTCTCACTCACCGTCGGATATCGCACTCTCGGCAATCTCTCCCTCACCTAGGGATATCGCGCTCTCGGAAATCTCTCCCTCACCTAGGGATATCTCGCCGCATTTGCAGGGCGCAAAACAGACGCGGCAGAGGCGGGAACGCCGACATTGGTGGGCCGGAGCCTCCAACAAAGCGCTGCTGCTGAGTTCTTTGTCAACGGTCAAAGCTGAGGACAGGCGCGAGTGATGCGAAATTCCGAGCAGGCGACTGATGCTGCGGGAAACAACAATCTGTCTATAAAACGGGCAAGAAATGCAAGGTAGACAAAGAAAATGCGATAAAAAACGGGTTAAATGGAATACATTTCTGGCAGACAATTTTGTGCAGTTTAAAATTTTTCGGTACTGAAATATTAAGCAATATTGCGTACTTGCGCCAATACGCAATTTAGCTGCAGCAAATACACTTTTGACGCTTTATATTTAGCAGCTATTTTTCATTATTAAAGCATCCACAAAGAAATGCACAATTTGAAGAGAATTAATTTAAACGGAGAGCAAAGCTTTAACATTGCTCTGATTTATATTCCATCATTCCATTCACCAATGCTTGTTTCCGCGGTCCACGGCACTTGAGGAACGCGTTCATGTCCACAAATCTCGATCGTAATCGCTATCATCGGCGCGCGGATAACGTCCTCATGGAAGAGCTTTGCCGGCATTAGCCTGTATTTGGCAATCTTAGATCGAGTATCTGCAGCCTACGGTCGGCAGTGGCAAGCCTTGAAAAATATGAATTGTGAATATTCGATGCAATAAATATAAATAAAGTCTAATTTTTCAAATAAAATATTCAAAAATGTTTAATAATAACAGTCGAAAGTGAACTGTGAAAGATAGCAATATTAAACATAACATAACGATATTAACGTAAGTAACGTAACGTAACGTAACGTTATGTAACGCAACGCAACGCAACGCAACGTAACGTAACGTAACGTAACGTAACATAAGATAACATAACATAACATAACATAACGTAAGATAACATAACATAACATAACTTATCTCCTATCTCCAGCCACTAACTGTTGCAGAACCTCGCCCCATGCAGGTCAGAACTGTTGCAGAACCTCGTCCCATGCAGGTCAGAACTGGTGCAGATAATTTCAAGATCAGCTACATACCAGACAGATCAAAGCAATTGTTTTATGTACGACCCCTCAAGAACTCTTCGTAAAAATTAGGTAATTTAGAGCCCTAATTAAATAACCTTGTTTGGTAAGAATCATTTAGGACTTAGGCCTAGTCATTGCAGAACGTACGTCATTATTACCTCGTCGTCCTGCAATGACGGGGTAATAATGACGTTCTGCAATGTAGGAAAATGCAAGATTATGACATTCTGCAATGAAAAAATGCAAGATCATTATGAATCATGAGTTGAATGGTGCATAAAATATTTTTCATCGCATTCTGCATTAATACTATGTTCCTCTCATCTGATAAACTTAATATATTCAAAGGAATACTATCCCTCATTACCATTAGCAGTTATTAATCTAAATACAACGTGGTTTTGTGTTTTAAGAGCCTTAATCGAGTTTGCGTTGATAACAAACTTCAAGTAACTAAAAGAAACCAGTTTTCAGTGAACGCCACCTTAGTTAATGTTAGGTTAAAATCAGCAGTTTAAATCTGAAGTAGGATTAAGATCGATTGTTCTCTATTGCTAATTAACACAAAATATTTAACCCCAAACATGTAAACAAAGTTGCCAGTCTGATAGACCTAATATTTTCGACATATTTTGACACATAAAATTAGGCCTCCAGTAATTCTTCAAGTTTTAAAAATTTCGTGGTGAAAAATCATATGAATTGTGCAAACTTCCAATTTGATCGCATCAACTACAATATAATATCGCAAAAATGCATGATCATTGAAATGGCATGAAATGACATTAATGATTAATACGTCATTTTGTTTGCTATCACAGGATTTTAAACTAAAACCGAACAAAAATGCTCTCAATACATTTGTAGGATCAACAACATTATCTTAACTCTTCAATAGACTTCACAAGCAAGATACTGGGAAGAGCGCAGGTCATAACAGAAGTTTTAATTGAGTCCTGGACGGTTAAGAGAATCTCTGAGCGCCCGATGCTCAATTGTTTGCTCTGCGCACGCCAGTCACGAGCGCGTAACTCCTGAACTCCGCGCTGAGTAACTCACTTCAATTAAGCCTGCCGATACAAGCTCGTGATTGTTCCTCTTAGAGCTCACTTTTATTTCTTTGCTTGAGGAGCATTCATTATTATTGTATTCCGATACAAGCAGCGCTATTGCTCTCTTAGAGTTCACCATTTATTGTTTATTTGAGGAGAGTCCATTATTTTTATATTCCGATACAAGCACGTTATTGCATCTCTCGGATTTCACATTCATTAATTCGTTGAGGGGCATTCAATACAATTCATAATGGCAGAGAGTGAAGTTTCGATGGATTGTTTTTAATCCACGGTTTTACCACTAAGGATTTACATTAGGCATATTTCCCATATACTGTATATTCATTAAAGTTGTATTCATTACACTGATCACCGGAGACAATGGTTGTGGGATTCTTTTTTGTGGATCGATAAGCTTTTTCCCAAATGATTTCAAAACAGGCTTTGTTTTTTCTCTAGCACGATTTTTCTTTAATATTTGCATTTCTAGGTGAATTATTGTAATAATTATATATGTTCGTATGCATAATTGAATGCTTGATAGAAGCGATCCCACGCATAAATTCATTTTACTTAGAATCAAATATCTGCAATACCGGGAGCTATATTAGGAGTTAATGCACAAATAAACGTAATGCACCAATAATTATTATATTTATGTTAGCACCATACAAATATAATTATTATATACATATCTCACATACAAATACCGATATGTCAAAAACTAGACGTGTTTGAGAAAAAGCTAAGTCAGGAATCAGCAGCGAAAAAAGCTTTCCAATCCACACAAAATGACCTCGGAACCATTTCCTCTGTCGATGATTATTCTTGAAGACAGTGAAGTGTTAAGGTAATCATATTTATCCACTGTTTGCCTTATTAGTAGTTGCAGAGAAGAGATCCCTTATCTGCATTTATCATTCAAATCGAAGACAGTGAGCTTTTGATGGATAATTATTATAATCATTTAAAAAAGCAATAGGTAGTAAATATTCGTAATTGGTATTCAAACTTCATCATTATTTTATATATTATAGACGAAAGTGAGGCTTCATTAGATTGAAATAAGTCCATATTTCTACATGATAAAGATTTATTATCTGTATTCATTCATAAAGTCTCATTAAGGATTTAGGAAATATGAAACTCATTATGATTGGCAATGATTTTATGACTGATCCGATATCATTGGAAAAGTGTTATGCAATTCAGTTTCAATTTTTTACTTATGTTTCAAAGCCAATGTGACGAGACGCATGAAACTCGTTCTTTACTTCTCCCGCGATCGTGGATTCCAGGCAGAAGATTATGTATTAATTTTCAAAATTGTAGCACTTGAATAAAAACAAACTACCATCAGTCATTCAGAATTCTAACTCAAGGTTCAGAGCATCAAAGCCGTAAATTTTTCTTCCGCCCATCGCAAAGGCACTAAAAGTCATCGTGTGATGGGAATGCTGAATCCTCCTTTGCCAAGCGAACTATTTTCGAAGAAATGCAAAATGACCTAGCTGGAAAAAATAGTGTCATCATCTGCCTTCCAGCTCTGTTGCAAGTTCTTGAGTCAATTCTTTTCTGCAGCTCATGATACAGTGAGGAAAAATTAATCATTTGCCCCGCACTTTAGTCAAGAGAGCGCTACTTTGGACCCGTGGCGTTCCTCAGGGTTGCGAAGAAAACCTGAAATCGTTTTCTTTTTGGGCAACGTTTTCTGTTCTTCAGGCCAAACTTTCGCATGTCAGTGACGAATGGCGTTACTCGGCCCGAGACATGCATTTGCATACACAACCGACCCATAGAGCTTTAGGCCTCTTTCTCAGTCCTGTTTTACAAAGTGGAGAATTTTTACGGCGGGATCACTTCCATGTCCAAGTTTAAATGCTCAGTTAAAAGCGTGGAGACCTTCCAGAAGTGAGAGACTTTGCTACAAAGTTGAATTGGAACGATGTTTTTTTTTCAGGCGGACGAGATCGCATGGCATTTCAGGGGAAAAAATGCAGGCTTAAAAACATTTGACATCGACACTTGAAACTTTGCTCTCATTTTAATTCGAGTCCATTATTTTTACATGAATAAATTTCCCGCTATCAGCAAACACCGTATGAACAACCGCCGCTGATATTTCAGGAGTTCAAATTGCTCAATTACAATTAACAAAAATTTGTTTAGCATGGCTTGCAGGGAGTACGATTGACTTTGCAAAATTATTATCCTACTATGAAAAATTTATACTCAAATAAATCTATCTCAAAGAGGCCCCGTCAAACTGTTACACTATTGATCCAACCTTATCATGTTCATTTATAATTTATCTTTCTAATTTGCCGTCGCCTTGTTTCTTTTTAGCGCATTTTCTCATTTATGGAAAAAGGCGCAATTTTGCTTGTCATGTCCGTCTGTCCGCCCGTGACACGTTTTCGTCGACGAGAAAATGCGCTCTCTGTCACTCGCTGCAGTGAGTACTGAGTTATATTTTTTTTGGCTTGACTATTTTCATTTCCGCCGCTACATATAATGCTATCTTTGCTGCCCCCCCCCTAAATTTTAATTGGGTAACACCAATACATCAGTTATTTTTAAAGCGATCATACTCAACTTGAGATGTTTTCCTCGCACTGAACAGCACTGACTGCATATGCGTTCCACCATTAATCGAACTTTTGAATTTAAACACGGTTAACATATAGAAAACATTCAACTCAGAAGTTTTGATACAACCGACACACAACTTATCATTTTTCAAGAACCCAAAAGTTGCAAATAAGCTCAAGGAACTATTTTCAGAGCGGCATTATAGATGCAAGAGTTCAAGTCAATGAAGCTACACGGGCAGATCTCACCATTATAGGCGGCAAGGAATGACAGCTTCGTTGTCTTGTGATCTCCGACATGTCATCAAATTATCGAAAACGGGCCGTTATCGATACTTGACTGTCCTCCAGACTTCTTTTTCCGATAAAGCGTTTGTTCTCTCGAGTCAGGATCAAGGCTTCATTGATGAGGAGGTTCTCTAATGACTAAATTATTTCAACGGCTTTTTCATTAATTAGTTTTGCCTTGCATAATATATTCAACAAATTTTGATGATTGTTAATTGAGATAATTAAACATTTTTCCCATTTGAGATTTTAAATGAAAATTTTTCGAATTTTAGCATGGTCATAAAGAGAATTTGATTTGAATTTCAACAACATCGTCCAGATTTCTTTCTTTTTGAAAAATTCTTTAATTGAAAGTCGCTTAAAAATCAAATGCTGATTTCACCTGGGTTTTGTCGATTTGAAAGTCGGATTTAAACTCCGCTACTTACTCCGTAATTTTCTAGATAATCGCCGAAAAACTAACTTTCCATTCTACTGGTAATTCTACAAAAGCGAGTTGGACTGATGGTGCGATAAGTAATTAATTATCTTATCATTTTTCCGTCATTAAGAAGCAGATGGACCATAACACATCGTTTCAATAGGTAATTTACAAAAGAAATCTAATATTTCTTCCGCTTCAACTTTTTAAGTGCTTTCTTTCCTTTAAATCTGCAATATACCAGATGATAATTTATTACAATAGAACTCTTTTCAATCCTACGGAAGGTTCATTTTTTGGTTGTTGAAGTTGAATAATTGCTCCTATGTAATTGTCCAGATGTTCTCCGATGATATTCTGTAGATTTTCTTTGATGATATTCCCCAAATTTTCTCTGACGATATTCTCCAGGTGTTCTCTGATGAAATCCTGCAGATTTTCTTTGATGATATCCTGCAGATTTTCTTTGATGATATCCTGCAGATTTTCTTTGATGAAATCCTGCAGATTTTCTTTGATGATATCCTGCAGATTTTCTTTGATGATATCCTGCAGATTTTCTTTGATGATATCCTGCAGGTTTTCTCCGATTATAAGGGTCGCGTTCTAGATTGTTCCGATGATATCCTGCAGGTGTTCCCGATCCCCGAGTCGGTGTTCACGGTGGACAAGAGTCGGTCCGGCAAGAGGCGCGTGGTGGTGATGTTCTAGATTGTTCCGATGATATTCTGCAGGTGTTCCCGATCCCCGAGTCGGTGTTCACGGTGGACAAGAGTCGGTCCGGCAAAGGACGCGTGGTGGTGATGTTCTAGATTGTTCCGATAATATTCTGCAGGTGTTCCCGATCCCCGAGTCGGTGTTCACGGTGGAAAAGAGTCGGTCCGGCAAAGGGCGCGTGGTGGTGATGTTCTAGATTGTTCCGATAATATCCTGCAGGTGTTCCCGATCCCCGAGTCGGTGTTCACGGTGGACAAGAGTCGGTCCGGCAGAGGACGCGTGGTGGTCAAGGCTGTGCAGCTCGGCGCCGGCGACGCGCCGCTCAGATGCGAGATTTCCGGCGAAGCTCCGTACTTCCGGACGGACGAGCGCTGGGCCAAGATGGAGGTCGCGGGTGGGCATTTTGGTGATATTCAGTAATTTATTTAATATTATTTCAGTAATTTGTGGCTAAATGAGGATGAATCAGATATAAGGTATTAATTTCGTTTTTCACTCTGAGGCATTTCAGGTGATGCAGAGTATAGTTGAATCCAGCTACTTGGCTAAATTGATTATAATTTCTGTTTTGAGATGAATTGGGAAATTTCACGAAAGGATTCTGCACACATTTTACAAGGCATTGGCAGTGGCAGTGAGAGTTTGAATAATATGATTAAATTTCATACCAAACAAAAAAAGCTGTAGAAATAACAATTCGTCACATTTCCCTGACAGGAATACAGTATATGCCATAGATGTTACCTTTCCGTTAATGTCTACATCTGTTTTTATATTTGGCTAATATAACAATAAACATAAAATAATTATTCGCAAAATGAATGCCGTCAATTTCGATCGATACTTACATTAATTATGTCTTCCGAATTCTTTGCAGTGAGAGTAAATTAAATATGGTAAATTATTAAATATCTTCTAAAAATTAAAAAAAACGTAGCCCCATTTGAATCTTCAATTTTATCCTCGTAACCACTACCAATAAATTATAACAAAATCTTATTTCTTCATTTATAGTTATATTGCAGAATATATACTTGATATAATTTAATATTTTTTCTGCATGCATCGGTTCATTGCAATTTTTCGTTGCGAACATTTGCAACTGAGTCCGTTTTTGCGCAGCTTCCATCAGCTCAGCTGCCACGCTATCAATTTCTTGCTCAGCGTCGACAGCTCGATGCGATTTTTTTGCTCCTTCCGGCGATGCTGCTGGCAGACGCGAGGCTTTTTGCGAGACGACTTACGACATCTGACAACCATTGATTGCTCCTGATGCTCGAAAAACATCGACTTACGACATCTAGCAACCTTTAATTGCTACTGATGCTCAAAAAACATCTACTTGCGACATCTAGGAACCTTTAACTGCTCCTGATGCTCAAAAAACGTTTACTTACGACATCTTGCAATCTTTGATTGCTCCTGATGCTCAAAAAACAATCGCCTTACGACATCTCGCAATCTTTTATTGCTCCTGATGCTAAAATAATATACGTTTAAAAACTACTTTTTAAAGACAACACTTCCAAAGAATCCAGTATCTTCAATCATACAGATGTACAATGAATTTCTCATCTAATTTTCGAAAATTAAAAAAATTACCTTTTCAATTTTTTAAATATACATAAATTTTTTTTAATATATAATTTTTTTCTCAAAATTTCTCAAAAAACATCGACTTACGACATCTGGCAACCTTTGATTGCTCCTGATTCTCAAAAAACATCGACTTACGACATCTTGCAACCTTTGATTGCTCCTGATTCTCAAAAAAAACATCGATTTACGACCACATGTAACTTTTGAGATTGCTCCTGATGCTCAAAAAACATCGACTTACGACATATTGTAACCTTTGATTGCTCCTGATGCTCAGAAAACATCGTTTCATGACTTGTTGTAATATTTCATTGCTCATGAAGCTTAAAAAAAATATGATTTATGACAAATTACAATCTTATGTCGCTTACATTGACTTACGACACTCTGAAATATTAAATGCAATACATATAATATTAATACCTAAAATATTAAAAACATACTTTCGCTTAGCATTATTTCTCTTGATGCTCGAAAAATATTTGACTTACAACGCTGCGTAATCTTTGATTGCTTTAGATACTTGCAATGCTTTTGATTGAGTGTAATGTCTGGTACCCTTAACTCATATTATTAATAACTTTATTGGGTTCTATCCATTACAACAGAAAATACAGCATCGCACTCCGTCATAATTTATTATTCTTCATGTTATTTTATTAAGTTTGATGTTCAAATCACGTGTGCTAAAGGAAGCTTAAAGGAAGCTTCCTTAATCTAAATAAGATTCATATAACGATACCCCGCAACCTCTGATTCACGTTGAATCATGAAAATTTGGCATAGGGTTCTTCACTTATTAATAGTTATTTTTCCCATATTTGTTCATCCATCACCACAGTAAGTCAATTATTACAATACCTATTCATTTGGAAATATACTTACAAGCGAAAAAGACAGTCCATTACCGAGTAAATCGTGATTGAAATCTACATTGCACACGGCAGCAATTTTTAGTTATGTTCCCGAATCGGTCAAAAGCAGCCGATACACCAGTTTCTTCGATGGGCACAGCGTTGTTGAGAGTTGAGAGATGCGGTGGGAGGATCGCAGAGATTTATAGCTGAGAGAAGACTAGGAAGTCGAGAGATACGGTTTGATATATTACGAAGACTGAGTACCGGAAGGGCGACTGGTACAGCAGCAGCGCAGTTTGGCGACGAAACGTCTGACATGTTAACTGATCTGCCGGGACTGCAGCAATCTACTCCAATCAGAGCCTTATGCTCAAGAGGTGTAGGAGCAGAGTTACCATATGTACAGAATAAGGTCTTGGAGTTTCGTAAGAGGCAGCATTAGACGCAATTTGTAATATATTCATGCATAATGCGATATTTGTCATGCCCGTAATATTCTTTGTGTTTAGAGACGTTCTATTGTAACCTCTGTTGATAAAGTTAGGCTGTAGATTGTCGGTAATAAATGTAAATACGCCATGAAAATGTATTCTACATTCTCGTTAATGTTCGACTGTCATGTATCAATTTAATGAGGCTCATAGAACCTTCTTCCTATGTATTCTGCATTGCAATGTTAATACATTTGTAAAATATTGTAGTTTGTCATTTGCTATAGAACTTAAGTCAGAGAAGTATGATTGTATAGACTTGAGATTCTTTGATATATTCATGTGGTATATACAATAAAGAGAAGAAGAGTTGCATTGTTAGTTCGAAAAAATTTGACGTTGTACTTCATGAGACGTTCGAGAAACGATTTCAGTAGCAAGAAGTTAAATCTTCATCAATGTATTGTATAGTTCACTATATTCGGAATATTGACATACACAAACGAACGTGACTAATGTTCAGGTAATTGTAGGTGCCCGTACATTTTTTCTATTAAACGGAACTCAACGCGCACCAAAAAGTATACTGTGTGTATGTAGTATTTGTGGATATTGGGTTAGTAATTAGTTACGTTGAGTAAATATATAAGTTTTCATATCGTAGGGGTAACCGTATTCCGCGAAATTATTAATTTTCGTATCCAACTCTTGGTGACGTCTCGGACAAATTTAGGCCGGACTTGCGGCCGGTCTCGCGGCCGCTCTCCAAATTCAGTGAACTAGGAATACCTCTCAAAGTAATGAACGTAGCTCGATGAAACTTGGTACACGTATTCATTAGGACGTAACGGTGATGTTAGCTTGTGAAAATTTTTACATTTCGCCTTCATTCGTGAGTTATATGGCGATTCGTGCCGAAATTCGCAGTGAACTAGATATTTCTTCCAGAGTGCTGAACATATTTGATCGATATTTTGAATACACATTCCTAAATACTCAACGGTGATGTTTAGCCCATGAAAATTTTTTAGATTTAGCCTTCGTTCGCGAGTGTTTCTCCATTTCACCCTCATTCGTGATTTAAACAGCAATGCGTGCTCGAATTCGCAATGAAAATTAAATTTCTTCTAAAATACTGAACGGATCTGAACGAAACTTTTTTACATTCATCTACTGAACGAAACTTTTGTATCTTCATTCGATGAAGATATGTTTATTTTATGGTGGGTTTATTTCCTTGAGAACTCTTAATCATCTTGCGATTCAATCAAGTTCATCATATTTAACTCATTATAATTTATTTATTTATTTGTTATTATTTAGCTTTGACCATTTGTACAAGTTAATGATAAATTTATTTACTAAATATGTATTATATTTTAATCTCTCTTAAATTAAGTTACTCTAAGAAATCTACACTCCCCCTCCTCTCCCTCAGTCGTGCCCTCGGACCCTCCTTCCCTCACGGGCGTCGCTGGAATGTATGCCCTCAACTCCCACGCCCTTGTCACCTGCACGGCGCCCCCCGCTCTGCCCAAACCCGAGCTTGAGTTCCGCGTCAACGATGAGAAGGTGAAATTAAATATTATCATTATTATATCACTTTTTGAATCATTATAGTTTTATTATTGGGTATATTATTATTTATGGTATTATAATTTATACGGGTTTTATCAAACTTTTGCTTGAGTTCCGCGTCAACGACGAAAAGGAGCTATAATATTTTATAATTATTACGAGTATTTCACTTCAGACTATTTCAGTATTATTGTAGGCATCGTAAAATGTTTAAAATGTTCAATTGAGGCAAAAAAATTGAGGTCAAATGTACTTATTTTCCCTACGAGTTTTTCTCTTATTTTTCTTTGTGCATTTGTGCATTTTACCTATTCTTCCAATTCAGCAGTTGTAGCATGTAGCATTTTTAAAGTTATTTCGTTGCATTTTTTCTATAAGATGCCAGCTACTTCAGGCAAATCATTTCCCGAAACAAATTTATTTGTTTTGTTTATGTCTAAATTGAAAGGAGGCAATATTAATTGAACATCTGCTTAGGTCATCGATGACCTACATTTAGAATGCATTCCGGTAAACTTTTATTTGCTTTACAAACCTCTTATCATGCGGTACAAAAAAATCGAAATTCCTAAGTGCAACCATGTAATTGATGAAATTGCCATTAAAACTTGTAATGCAACAGAAGGTTTCTATTCTGGTAACCTCTCACAACGTCGTACATAGCGACGTTGTTTCAACGTTGAAATCTTGTTGACATCTGACGGTAAAATTGCGATTATATATATATATATATATATATGGGGATTTTAAGTCAAAATTTAACGCGATTTCAATGTTTAAACAACGTCGAAATGTACGACGCTGAAAAAATGACGTTGATTCAATTTTCATTCAAAACTAATACTAAACGTTATTTCAGCGTCATGAGTTTTGGTGTTTTTACGTTGATTCAACCTGACATTGCCAGCTGGGTCATTTTATCCAGAACATAAAATTCAGCAATAATTAAATACTTTATCGAAATATTTCATAATTCATCAATTAATTCCACTCAGGTGCACCCATCTCTCCTCCTTGAGCCGCTCGTACAGCTGAACAACGCTACGAAGCTCTACTCGGTGTCACAAACTCTACGGTTGCGCACAACTCTTTCCGTTGCACGCAGAGGCTACGTCATAGTGCGATGTTCGGCTTCAGTTCGTGATCTCTATTGGAAAAATTCCGAAGTGAAACTCAACGTTGATGTTCCCGAACAGTTCAGACAGAGACCCGAGTTCCACTTATTCGGTGAGATTGACTGGGAGTTGAAAAGTTGTACTGTTTTAATTCAACGAGTATTAAATTGAGTAATTTGGCTGCTATATTGTACGTCAATTTTTCTGACACCTCAATTTTCTATTTAAATGTTATATAACTTTTTTTGAGGCTTAGATGGCTTTGTATGACACTGTGTGTTTTGTGCCATTGTGTGTTTTTATATTTGCAGTTCATTGTAGATTCTTAGATTAATTCATGTTGATGTGAACAAAACAGAATTACATTGAGTCTTTTTCACAAAGATTTCTTATTAAATGAGAAAAAGAAACACCAATTAATAAATAATTCAATGCAAAATTTATAAATTAAACTGCTTCTTATCATCGGACTCGTGTTCTCATCTCCAGGTGACGCCGCCATGTCGACATCGTCTCCAGTTTTCTTAATTTACCTGATGACGTCATCGTTTGCTTTACGTTTCTAGTCCCGCTACAACCCATGTTTTTTGTACAAAATCATGACGCAAACTGAATATGTTTTTGATGTGTCTGTCATTGACAGACACATCAAAATGTCATTGACATTTTGTGTCAATGTTCATGTCATTGACAGATGTCATATATTTGTCCTTGAGACGTGACATGTACTTGGACATGTCCAAAAATAAAGTTATTAGATATCGAATAATAACATTAAAAGGAAAATCCACGTACTTTAATGTTATTATTAAATTATCAGTAATCAGGCCGGATTCAAAGACTATCTATACATCACGCACCGACTAATTTGTTTATATGAAGTAGATCTCTAAATATTTCATTCCAGGCTTAAAATGTCTTGGAATATTCACTTCCCAGCAGGCATCTGACGTTGAAACAACGTTGATTATTGGTTGATTTCAGGTTGAAATGTTGAACGACCAAAATTAAACGTCATATCAACGTCGAAATCTGACCAACACTAGAAGGGACGTAAAACAACCTTATTTCAACGTTGAAATAACGTCAATATTGGTACGTTGAATTTTTATTAATTTTTAAACGTTGAATCAATGTTGATTTCAGGTTGAAGTGCTGAACAACCAAAATTAAACGTCATATCAACGTCGAATTCTGACCAACACTAAAAGGAACGTGAAACAACCTTATTTCAACGTTGAAATAACGACAATGTTGGTATGTTGAGTTTTTACTAATTTTTAAACGTTGAATCAATGTTTATTTCAGGTTGAAATGCTGAACAACCAAAATTAAACGTCATATCAACGTCGAAATCTGACCAACACTAAAAGGAACGTGAAACAATCTTATTTCAACGTTGAAATAACGTAAATATTGGTATGTTGAATTTTTACTAACTTTTCTACGTTGAATCAATGTTTATTTCAGGTTGAAATGCTGAACAACCAAAATTAAACGTTTGATCAATGTCGAAATCTGATCAAAACTAGAACAGACGTAAAACAACCTTATTTCAACGTTGAAACAACGTCGATATTGATACGTTGAATGCTTACTAATTTTTAAACGTTGAATCAATGTTGATTTCAGGTTGAAATGCTGAACAACCAAAATTAAACGTCATATCAACGTCGAAATCTGATCAAAACTGGAACGGATGTAAAATAACCTTATTTCAACGTTGAAACAACGTCGATATTGGTACGTTGACTGTTTATTTATTTTTAAACATTGAATCAATGTTGATATCAGGTTGAAATGCTGAACAACCAAAATTAAACGTTTGATCAACGTCGAAATCTGACCAAAACTAGAACAGACGTAAAACGACCTTATTTCAACGTTGAAACAATGTCGATATTGGTACGTTGAATGTTTATTTATTTTTAAACGTTCAATCAATGTTGATTTTAGGTTGAAATGCTGAACAACCAAAATTAAACGTCAGATCAACGTCGAAATCTGGCTAAAACTAGAAAGGCCGGAAAACAACCTTATTTCAACGTTGAAAAATGGTCGATATCGGTACGTTGAATGTTTAGATATTTACCAGCATGGAACTACTGTTATCACACCAACATTGAATGAAATACATATACATAAGTGTACGAGTAATGACCAGAGAATGCAGTTCAATTTTCAAGGAGTCGAACAATTCTTAAGCTTATTTCTATTGCTCATGCACACGAGCTGCCGTGGTCAAGGTTGCTAAGGCGTCGCGCGGTCTCCAGCGATCCCGGGTTCGAATCCTGCCACGGACGAAAAACAGGTTGGTTCTTCAACGTTGATTCAATCAGAGAATTTGACGTTGCAGCAATGTCGTAGTAGTAACATTGATTCAACGTTGCATTGTAACGTCAGTACGACGTTTCATGAGAGACGTTGCTTCAATTTTCATTCTAAACCTATTTACACCCCAATCTCAATGTCGTAATGCGTAGTTGTTTCAACGTCGATTCAACCATAGAATTCAACGTTGCAGCAACGTCGTTGTAGCAACATCGATTCAACGTTGCATTGTAACGTCAGTACGACGTTGCATGAAAGATGTTGCTTCAATTTTCATTCTAAACCTCCTTTCACCCCGATATCAATGTCGTAATGCGTAGTTGATTCAACGTCGATTCAACCATAGAATTCAACGTTGCAGNCATGTACGTAATAATTTAGGTCTAAAAAATCCTACCTAAAACGCTTAATTGCACCGAAATAGCCGCTTCTCGTGAAGAAATTAAATATTTGCAACTCATTTAAACTTGACCTGAAACTTATTGTACATATAATGTTGGATGATCGCTATTTAACAATACATGGAATGTTGAATAGATTTACTCAGGAATACATTGATAATAATGTAGCTAATATGTGTGTACATATTTTTGAATATATTACTTTCCGAACCCCAGAACCCGGCAAGGTCCCAAATTTGCTTGATTTTGAAGATCATATTTAGTTGCAAAACACTGAAACTCTATTAGCTGCAGTCACATACAAGTTTAGAAACATTTCCTGTTAATGAGGAAAAATATACCGTGATGTTTAAATGAAATTTTCAAATAAAACTTCAAGATATCGGCCTATAGAAAATGATATCTTCATAGCCCTGAAATTGCAAATGAATTGATTGTTATTTTTGTGAACAGCTAATATTACATTCTAAGTGAAATTATGTAATCAAGAATGAATTTTTAAAGCAAAATAACAAATTCTGAAATAAATATTCACTAAAACTCATGACAAATACAAATTTTTCAATAAACAACAATGATTTAATGTCTAAATTTCAATTTCCGCTAATTTACCTCACAAAATTGAATATGGAGAATTTTACGCACAGTACAAAAGCATTGATGAATGCCAGAGAATTTTGATCTTAGCAAAATAAATTCAATTTACAGGAAATACTTGTTTCTAATTTTTTTTCTGTATCCGAAAAGAAGAAATAGTCTTCGTTAAACTGTCGCTAAACTACAGTCAACTTAAATTAATACTGGAACTAGAGATTGTAAAAGTTCAGTCGCTCTATCACAGTTATACGCGATCTTTAGAGGAGTTACTCAAGAAACCTTCAAAATTAATTTGTAATTTAAACTGCAATATTATGCTTTTGTTGCATTAAACTGCAATATTATGCTCTGCTCTGTTTCATAGCTAAATAATAGCTTTATGCACAGAAATTTGTTCAGATAGCTTCGTGTGCCCAATAAATTAATTAATGGTGAACATTTTCATTCATGAAAACTTTTCCGAACATTTTCTCGTCCAAAATTTTACTTATCTTAGAATTATTTAAAAAAATTTTCATTTACAAATGCCAAACAT